TTTGATGAAAGGGCCCCCATCTCGGGTCTATGTATAATGAGCCAGCCCTGCCAGGTGACATTGGGCGTGGAGATGGGCGGTCACCCTCGTAGATGACCGAAAAGCGTATCCGTCAGCTTCACTGAAAAGGCACCTTGCTCATTTCACGGCTCTTTTCGAACAAAAAAAAAAGTCTGGGCCTCAACCATGATCCCGACCGCGGCTCAACGTTGGAACGCAGAGGTGCGGTTGTCACCGCAAAAAGCCGGAACGTCACGCTGGGTGGACGTTGTTGTCTCGAACAGGGTCGAGAGGCCGAGATCGACACTTTGCTGATCTCTACCATTTCTTTGACATATTGAATGGATCACAGGACTTTTCGAACCCTCCCACTCCCCTACAGTCCTACCTAAGTTCCCCTGGCACGGTCCTTTAACAGGTATGCAGTACGACCTCATAGAATTGGCACATATGAATAGCGAACTTGGGTTGAGTTTCGCGAGTGACGAACCACCGCCCCCCACGATCTCATTTCTTCTCCCCCTCCAAACAATGGTGCAAGCAAGCAAGCATTACCAAAACGGAACGAGAAAAGAGCGCGACCTAGAGCAGATCCTGCAAGATTCTTCAAGGGATCTGCGCGGTCTTCGACCGACTACAAGGCCATAAAGGCCCTAGGTCGCCTTTTGGTCGTTCCATTTTTGTGAACGACCTAGACAGAAAAGACAGAAAAAGGAAAAAAAAACAAAGATCGGCCCATGGCCGACTTAGTTGGACTCAGTTGGTGAGAGCCAAGAGACTTGGTCAGCTCGACAGGCAAAGAAGTTGTCTAGCATAGCTCGGAGCCCAACCCATGCATCCTTTGTCTCTTTGACTGCACAAGCCGAACCAGGCACTGACAGTGCCCTCGCCCTCCCAGATGATTTTTTACAGGTGCGTTTCCACGCCGCTTTGGCATCGAAATTTGGTGGGGAGGCAATGGTGTCGCCGATCTTCATTGTCCAGTTACCTTGCGGAGCTGTAAAGTGGCGGGGGGGGCCACTGGCCTAAACCGGACGATTGGCAATCTTTGATTGGAGATGCCGCTTAAATAGTGTAATCCAGGGTGGCCACGAGCAGCAAAGGCAAGTGGCTGACAGCGCTGACTTGGTGGAAGACTGTTCCTCTGTTAGGCCTTTCCTTTAAGGGGGAAAAGATGTAGTCGTGATGCGTGGTGGCAACTCTGCGTGGCCGCTTGATATTTGCTCCACGTCGAGAAGCGGTAAGTGCAAATCTTGCTGCCAAATTGGAACGGTGATCATGGCAGGCGAGGTTGCCATGCAGTCTGGATGTATTATGGGAACAATATCCATAATGAGAGGAACAACAAGTTCATACATCACCTCACGTGTCCGTATGAGGCGTGGGTTTGGCGGTGCGGCTAGAGCGCAAGGACTTCACCGCCCTGGGCTTACCCGCATCGCAGGAGGAAACACCTTCTTTTTAGTTCAGACCTGTGGTTCCAGACTCACGAGTTACAGGACCCTGTTGAAACCAACTATCAGCAAGCGAGAGAGACTGCTGAAGAATTGTGGTCATGGCAGAGTCTTTGGGGTCCGTAATCTCGTGTGCGTGGTGGATTCAGCGAAACGAGTCGCAGCAGGCCAAGGCGAATCCACCGAATCGTTGTATCGCTTTGAGCAACGCATTGGTGGCTGGCACACGTAGTGTATTCGTAGGGCTTCGATGGAAGAAGCTGAAGCTGAAGCGAATGCTACTCAATAACAAAATATGGAGACGGGCAACCCATCCACTTTGAACCCACAGAGGCGGAGTCACCGATGCTGGCTCGAGAACGGCGTATGGAAGTCTGAGATGCTTCTTCGTCAGGGTATTGAGCCTTCTAGAAGCCACGGAAAAGACGGGTAAAAGAGGAGGGACCACCATTCGGCCCAGATCCCGCTGTGATGTGATTTGAAACGGTTGATGCTGGAAGGTTAGTGCTCTGAGAGAGTGGGTGAAGCAGGGCAGGGCCGTCGATGAGGAGAGACGAGACATCGACTGGGCACGGAAGACAGGCGCGCTTCGGGAAAGGCCAGGGGCACGGTCCGGACGTTGACCAGCAGAGGCCCTTCTCTTCGGCCCAGGATGCGACAAGAGGCATGGCGACAGAGTCAGCGACGTGTACGAGCTTTGTGTAGTGTGGGTGTGCCTGTGTGCGTCTGACTTGTCACGGCTGGCTCATTGTAGAGGGCTCAAACAAGCCTGGGTTGTCGAAGCAGTGCGTCTTCTGGGCGCGCACGATTCCTGAACGTGGTCCAACGACAGATCAAGGACGATCAATCCGAAGGTTTTAGGACGGCGTGGTCAAGGTGAGTTGTCATCAATCAGCGTTTGCCACAGCTTTGCTGCGTTGCTAGCCTTGCCGTTGACTCCCGAAATTCCAATCTGGGCCGGGATCGGAACGGGGACCAATAAAGCGGACTAGTTGGGTGATTTAGTTTGCGTTGCTTTGCGTTGCGTTGCGTTTCCTTGCGTTGCGAGCGGAAACAATGTGTGGAAATCCCATTCAGAGGTCAAGCTGCAAGCTGCAAGCTGCAAAAGCTAGCGGGTTGCAGCATGACCGTGATATCGCCGCTGCATCGTCACGCCCACCAGAGGATTGGACACGGGAGTCAAACTGTGTGTCGGTCGTCTGAAAGCGCTATAGTGTAATACAATGTGAATGTGTCCACAAGGCAGAGGAGAACACTGTGGTCGGGGCATGCCTGGTGCTCTCTGGAAGCGGGCCGAGTCATGGGCGTATCATCCTTTATATTGTCAACAAGGCGGCGTCCAGACGATAGCCCGTGGCGGGAGTTGGTCGAAAACCTTGCTAATGAGAGGGCTACGGAGCAGGACTGCCGCGTTGTGTGGTATCATGGTCAAAGGGCTGCATGATTTGTCGCACAAGACGCACAACAAGCTCGCAACTGGGTTGCATGAGATGTTGCGAGGATGTAATGCCAATCGTACTCTTGTAGGCAGGTCGAAACGAGCCAGCAGCAAAAGCCTACGCCACAGCGTATGAGAATGCAAGCAAACGGCGACTTTGAACTACCCAACCATCTCGAGCGGCGGCCGTATCGAGAGTTTTGAGTGATAGAAAAGCCTCGGGCATCTCAGATGCATGAACGAATAAGCCCCGGTGTGATGTGCTGATGGCGTAGTTGGGACCGATGGGATCTGCCAAGGAGTCTGGTTGGCGCCTCGGGCACCTTTCTAGGTGAAAGTGGTGAGGGTGTGTATTAATGGCACTCTCAAGCTTTGGGCCGGGGTTGGCACAATGTGGCCAGGCCTGCTGAAACCTAGAGTATTATTTCCCATTCTCGGTGTATGGCGGCAAACGGCAGACAGGTGAAGGGAAGACATGTTGGTAGCCGCTGGACTGTGTCTTCCTAGTCTTAACTCTGGGCATTACGGTCGCTAGATATTGTGTTTGATTGAAGGTCTAAGACCATTGAGGTACGGATTGTGAGGACGATCCTGCAGGCCGGTGCTCACGCAAATTACTCCGCGGACGCATTCTGCGATGATGGAAGTAACGTTGGGACTGGTCGCAGCAATGCAGCTCAAACTTGGACGCCGATGGTCGAATTCTGACCATACACTGCAAAGCCGGACCACTGAAACCAGAGGGTGGCCATGGATCGAGTGGTGTGAGCTGTGCAGCCTCATTCTCAGCAGAAGTCGTGCGAGGATGACCCTCGCCCACGAGCAGCCGCGGTTCCCGGTCTGTAGACCCCTGGAGGGCTCCATCAACCACATGGCAAGACGAGGCAGAGGGGATGGAGGGTTCGCCATGGCCGAGGCGTCGAGGTTGACGCGTAGCTCCGCACGCACACGGCCATTGTTGAAAAAGGAGATTGTCGAGTGTCGACGTCAGAAGTTGATTGACTCGTACCTGGTGGAGGATGGGCGTTGGTGGCTCAGGCAAGACTCAAGAGTCAGCCAGCGGCAATTTTAGATGCAGAGCTGATTCTGAACCGGGTATTCGTACCCTAAGGTGGACGGTTGTAGGAAGATGAGATGATCTCAGCTCATCGACGCCCCGGCCATCCATCTATCCATCCATCTGCATGCATGGAACCGGAACTTGGAAGTCAAAGTCTTTGTGGTCTGCGGAGGTGAAGTCGGTACGGGCACTCGACTGTCGTCATTGTCGACTGCCAACCTGCGACTTTCAGATTCTCTGCCGGCCGCCGTTCGTCCTGTTCTCCCCCGGAACTTGGAAGACTCTTTGCGAGAGCCGAGAAGCCAGGGCCACCTTGAGGTCGGAGAGCGGGCGACAAAGAGGACCAGGGGCGGGCGAGCACCATTGATCACGCATGGAGCAATGCCGTCGCGGACATGAAGCGTGCAGGTCTGAGTATCGGGCAGTGGCCGGCGTCGCGAGACTCTGAAATTATCCAAACTATCGCATCCCGTGCGCCGTTGGCGTTTGGACCAAAGTGACGGGCGCCCCGGGGACTGAAAGGGACGGTTGCACATATTCCCGGGGCACCGTCTAGACCAAAGCCCTAGCAGCATCAGACGACGGCGGACAATGAGGCGTTCGCCTCGCCGTCGGCCACTTTCCCAGTGGCTCCGATATCTCGGCCGCTTGCACCCAAGGACGGGTTAATTAGCATCCACACCCCGCGGGTCAGGCGCCTCGATGCAGATCCAAGACCGGTTGGTGGACGATTCATATCCATAGTCTTAGGCGTTGGCAACAAGGAGAATAGAAAAAAAAGGGGGGCGAGAGGGTCGCATAAGGCTACCGGTCCGTATTTATGTTTCCAATATCGTGAGAGGCGAGAAAGACTCGAGAGAGATCAATCAAGAGAAGCATGAAAGTGCAACGGCTGGTTGGCATAGAGTCCTCCGTACTCCGCAAGCCATCGAGTGTGTGTCTGCTTCGACTGGAGTGGCTGCTTATCACTAGACTCATCGTAACGTCAAGTTAACGATGAGTCGAGGGAACCTGCGGGTATCGTAACCGGTTTAGATATCGCATGCATCTACAGCGGCACTGTTGGCTGGATGCAGCAGGACGTTGTTCGTTTGAGTAGTATGAATATTGTGATCAAATCTGTGCGAGCCTCGTATACGTGGGGATCGGAGTGCATCTCCAGTCGGGTCAAAGTTGTGTAGGTATTCGTAACCACATGCATGTAGGAGCAGACGACGACGACGGCTCCGAAGCGAGGAGACGAATTGATTGCGAAGGCGATCAGCAGGACGGCTTTGTTGGTGGCTGGTTGCATCTGAAGTGGACGAGGCCGGTGGATCGTGGATCGCAACTAGATGGATCCAATCTTACTGCCAGCGGGAAGGGAACAACGGCCACTCGCTGCTAGGTTGCCTCTTGCCTTCCGCGAGGCGAATCCTGCCTCGTGGTTCTAGGAGCATGCGGCTTGGGATTGATGGGGTTGATGATGAAGTGTATGCTTCGTACTCTGTACTCTGTGGTTGTACCGTGTGTCCTTGTCACGGAGTCAGGGGGTTTCCGGGAAGGGTCGGTTTGCGGTCCGGCGTCCTGCTCTAGCCTAGCTTGCCTACCTTATTAGCTGTGAACTTGTGAAGAACAGCTGAAAGGAACATTGTATGGACGGTGAGATGACCATTGAGGCTAGCTCCGAGGTTTAGAACTAAAGGGCCGGGTTGATGATGGCAAGTGGAGGCGGAACAGAGTTTGAAGATTCCGTGATGTCGAATTTCTTTGTTGCGCAAGCAGAAATTGATATTCGTACTCCGTAGTGCCGTACACAGGAGACATAGTGTACGTAGGTAGTGCGGAATAGAGACAGCATCTGGGACGGATGAGTGGAACGGGAGCCGTAGACGGAGCGCATTCCGTATCCGTCGAGCGCCGTTGCAGCCACACAACCGCCTGGCGTAGGTAAATTTCTTCGCAAGGCAGGAACGGCAAGTAGCCGTACCCTGGAGTTAGAAGTCACCTGCACTCTCAGGTACCGTTACCTTCCTGCTTAGTGCTCTCCCGCCATCTTCCACAACCTGACTGCGTCCCATGGTAGGTGGCTTGCGCCCCTAGCTGATGAGGTAAAGCAAGACGGAAGAGCTACCTATCTTACTGTGTAGGCACACCGTAAAGCCAGCCGAGGTACGTATTGTGTTCCAAGGCGACGGTCATCGTCACCAATGACCGGGGGGGGGGGGCCGAAGTTTGGAGTCTAAACCACGCCTTGTCTGAGATGGGCACCTCGAGGCCCTTGAGTAGGAGTTTATGGCTCAAGCCAATATCCCATAGTGGTGTTCCGGCTCCGAAATCAAAGTCCAGGTATGGAGGCCGGCCGCAGGGTCCGTAGCGAGGCACGCTGGGCTGGTAAAGGGACGGTCCATAGATGAGTGAGTCCTGTAGCGGCTCTCATCAGAGACTTGGTTTGACGCAGATGTGATGCAGGGACGAGAAGAGAGGAATGGAGAGGTTCGAGTGAGTCTAGACCTGCCGGTCTCGATTGGAGGGCTCAAACAATAGGGCAACTAATACGGATGAGCGCTCCGCACGCGAGTCTGAGATGCTGGTTCATGGGCCTGCGGCCTGTTCCCGCTCCCAGGAACAAGGCTGGTGAGCTTCGAGTCGTGAGTCGTGATTGTCTTGAGATGGCACCGGCCTTGCCTGGTCAAGCCCTGTGGATGAAATGTGCAATGGCAATGCACTTTTGTATTATTCAGCCATTGAATATTAATCTTCACTCCAACAGGTACGCAATACCTTGTACCGTGCGGAGCCATGGTCTCTCCTCCCACCAAGTCTACTGCAGCATATGGCCCGTGGAGAAGGGAGGAACTGCAGCATGGGAGGCATTGATTTGTTTCTAGCAGATGGTTTTTGTCTCCCTGATTAATCCCCGACCCAATTAATTCAAAATAGCGACTGCAAAGCCCCAGCAGCGCGATGCAACGCTTCGGCCGAGCATGCAGGATTTCGTAATTGTCGTCATTACTATGGGTTCCTGATGAGGATCTGTTGGTCAACCTGTCATGCTGCGCGGACAATAATTATTAAGTAGTCTTTTGTCGTATTAATCTGAAGGTGGCGGCTTGCTTTATGTTCTGAGCGTCCGAGGCGACCGTGATATAGAAATTGTCAAATTGTCATCTCGGATTCGTTCAACCCGCCTCACGCTAGCGATGGCCTAATTCACTATCCCCTTGATTGCACGTTGTCAGCCGCCTCTTCCACATGTTGGAGATGGCATGAGTGAAATATGTCATGAGTATGTCGAGTCTCGAGTGTCTCGGGTTGTGTTAGCTCAACAATTCGCCAACTGCGTACCTATCACTTGGATGATTGTAAGTGTGCCCTGAGCTCACCTCACCTCACCTTCCCTTTTCTCTCTTACACACAGTCTCGAGTCTCTTGGTCTCACTCTCACCTCGAACCCACCTGGGAGATTCAGGCAGGGTATCAGGTATGCGTAGCGAGGACAGCAAGGCCGGTAATAAGCTGACCCTGGCAGATCCCACAAGGCTCCTCCTTTCGTGTCGTCTGCGAGGCTGCTCCTCTTTCCCAGAATCCCAGGTACGAGGGTTGGGAACCTGGGATGGACATGGCTCTCTTGAGAAATCCAATCCAAGACTCCTGGGACCTGGAACTTGCAAGGGATCCCCCCTGCCGCCCGCTCTCAATCCCCTTCCTTCCTCCTTCCCCTTGCAAGCCAATGAAGTACCTCGGCACCCTCCAGAGGTACCGGAGTACCTCCAGTATCAGCCTCTCTCTGCACCTTCCACAACTGCCACGCACACCCAGCAAACGGTACCTCATCCCCAGTAAGGTACGTCGATACGGGATAGTGGGATCAAAGTGGCTATTACCGACGGCGCGGATTGCTGGGTTGTCTCAACTAGCCCTTGCCGTTCCCATTTGCCCTGGCACTGGGCTCTCTTTCTTTTTTTATTCCTACGTCTCCGTATTATTCTTTTTTTCCAGAATCTTTTCCCTCTCTGGCATTTTTTCACAATTATTCCTCCGATGGTTTCTTCTGCCCCTCAGTACTCCCTACTCAGTACTCCCGTACTTTCCTCCCCTGGACCCTACCCTCGTGCCTCCCCTGCCCCTAGTTGGAGTACCTAGGGACCCCACGCCTAGCGCACCACTGATGATCTTCTTCTATTTGCTTTTTCCGCTGGTTCCCTCTTCCTCTTGCACTAGACTTGATCTTGGTCTTGGTCTTGGTCTTGGAGTCGTGATCCTCAGGTTCTCATAGTCATATCCTCGAGTTCGACACGTTCCCCCAGGACGCCAAGAACTATATCACCACCGCTTGGACACATATTTCGAATGGATGGATGGATGGATGACGGATCCTTAGCAGAAAGGGGCGCTTTGCTCATGTGTGATGCTGACGGTCCTCCAGCTTCTATAGTTCATACTACCATACCGTCCTTGCATGGTCGTGCGATCCATTCGGAATTTCAGTCTTGGACTCCTGGCAGATCATGCAAGTCTGCGAGCGAACGGACGCACAATCCTGAGTGTTTTGACCCCCCACCCCCAACCGGCCGGCTTTTTACCTTCATCTCTTGCACTTATTCGCAACACCTTGACGGTGTGTACCGCGACCTCCACGGCCATGAGGTAGAATGGAGAGGCACACGAGCAGTCCGGCGTACACCATGACCTCGTGTGGGTGCAGATTCTCGCCTGCTGCAGCAGTTTGAGCCTGTTCTTTCGTCCACACTGCAGCTACCGGAATTGGAACAATGTGCCGCTGGTCGATCAATACGAAGGTCATTGACTCGCCGCCGCCGCGCGCCGCCGCCTCTTACGGATACGCTGCCTTTGACAGCAAAAATTGTGCCGCACACACCTAACGACTCATTCACCATACCTTTCTTTGCTGCTTCGTCTCGCAGCGCGCTCATTTGTCTCGCCAGTTGAGTCAAAAGTTCTGGCCCGAAGTTGTCTCTTGAAATGATGCCGCGGCCCCTCTCTCCTTTGCCGTCTTATGGCGGAGCGCCCGCGAAGACCATGCGTCCAAGTTCTTTCAAGTCTCCTCGCGACTAGTCGCCTGCTGGCCGCATATCTGGAGTATTCGTTCGAATTACTGGATACGCCGTCTTCTCGGACAGGAGTCTGGTGTTTGGGGACATTTTGGGCGTTCCTACAACGCTTAATCGGCCTGGCCCGTCCAGCGCCACCTCTTGTTCCCCTTTTTTCATTCGAAACTGCTATTCTGGGGAAGTCAACAAGGCCAGGCGAAGATAGGCAAAGAAGGGAGGCTGGTTGGCATGTTCCACGAGGTACCCATCTTGCGTTCCGTTCTTCGAGATCACCGACAGGCGCATGGGTTGTGGTTCTTTTGACTCTCTCCAGCTGGTAGGGACAGGCCCGAGTGGACCACCAAAGACCCAAGACTCCAAGAGTCCCGAGTACCAAACGAGTTGTTCGTCCACCCCCCGGCCCGGCGCAGGGATGGCCTTGGTGCTAATCGCCCCAGCGCGCGATGAGCGTGGCACGGCATGGCATGGGCATGGCAGCATGGCAGCATGGATAGTTATCTCATCGTAGCAGCCATCCGTCAGTGTGTGGGCTGTAACTTGGGAGTAGCAGCAGACTCAGAGTTCCCTCAGTCCACTGTCCACCTGACGGGGGTTGGTTGACGATGCACTACCGTGTCCGGATGGCCAACGGCAAATGACGAGGCCTGCCGCCGCAGCAGCACCATCGGTGGCACCAGCGAAAGCAACTGCTGTTCCCCATGCCTCCATTCGCTACTCACGATACTGCTGACAGGAGAGGCGCCTTCTCTTTGGATCCCGATCTCCGTGTTGTTGCGCCTCCGGTGCCACTCTGCTGGGGCAACGACCATGTATCCGTATCGGCCGGAGCGGGTGTTGACACACGTACTGGCCCGCTCTATATGGCGTGGCGTAGTAGACGGGTATGCGGCTTGCATGTACGCAGTACACATGGTTTCTCACTCGGTGAGACCCCGAGGAACTACTTGACGAGGAGGTGTTCATTTGCACTGTCCTACTGCAGGCCGCTGCTACTCTGCTACGGCGACTGCCACTGCCACTCCCGATGCCGCCGATGGTTGTTACTGCCGGCGGTCGGGCGATAGGCGGTGGGCGGGTTGGGTGGTGTTGGGAACAGGCGGTGGCCGTGGCTTGTTCAAGGCCCCGGAGACGACGGGGGGGACGACATCACAAAGGGACCTCTCCACGATGACGCGCTAAGGCTGACTAGAAGCGAGTAGCGGGCTGGAAGTGGAGGGGGAGTGAAGGGACTCTGCGGCTTGAGGCGTTGATGAGGCGTACCGTACCTGACAGAGAAAATGGCAAAGTGCCAAAAGACCACGGACGGGAACTGGAAGGGATGCCGAGTCGAGATGTGATGGGAGGGAAGAGCTGGACAAGAGGAAGGGAGGAAGCATGACACGGCCTGGCACGTACATGATGGATGTACCCAAAAAGTTGCTTTTGTGAGCGCAAGATATGGGGCGAGTACGGAACGGATACTTCTGGCCTTGCATATCCTACACAACGAGACGGAATTTGACGACACCCTCAACTCGTCCTTCACTATCAGTGCTCGACCGCGAAAGCCCACCCACCCAGCTCCTACCTAAGGTATGGAGCCTGACTACCTTACTTGCTGTCCTGGCCTCGTGCTCGCATTGGAACTCTCCTTCCACACACAAACATCGCACACACACACACTCATCGTCGGGCATACAGGGCAGGGAACAGTGGAGGAGCGACAGCACAGTACAAAACCAAAATGGGAGGGGAAGGGGGGGCCGAGAGAATGGATGGCCCAGTGGCCAGTGGGTGCTGCCGCTAAAAAGATGAAGCTCCGGGTGTGTAGCGTGTGCCGTGTGGGAGTGTGGGAGCGTGGGAACGTGTGGAGGGTCTGGTCTGGTCTGGTCTGGCACTGCACTTCTTTCTCTCTCTCTCTCTCTCGCTCTGAGAGGTGTGAGTCTGCATTGAGGATGCATTGCCAGCAATTTCACCCAAGTTCCCCCAACCCATCCAAGCGCATAGTCCCCTTGGACATTTGGGTCCTAGTTCCTGGCCCGGCGGCGGAGAAGGGTACGTACCCCCGATCTGGGGCCACCGTCCGTCACTTATGGAGACTCAACGTAGCTGATGTACGGACTACGGAGTACCTTGCCCTGCCTCACTACCTTACTTACCTCGAGGCCCATCCCCTCCCCCCTTTCTGAGGTGGCCCCTTCACAGAAACTGGGAGGCAAAGGGGGGGCCTTCACCGTCCGGTTTAGTGTGCCAACACCCTCTGTACGCTACTATGCAGTAGAGTAATGTAGGGTCAGGATATGGAAGCCAAGTCCAAAGTACCTCTCCACCATTCGACGGATGACTAGTGACCTCCCTGGGCCCTTTCTCCTCGATGGACGCTACGGCTCTCTCACACATACACTACTCCGTAAGGTACTCATTGGATGCATGTACTCCGTACTCCGTACCCATCTTACCTCCATGCCACGCCTTTTGCCTCGTCTTCTTCCACGTTCAGGTACATGCTCTCTGCACTGCGACTCTATGTAGGATGTACGTACCTTGACCCGGTATCTGTACCTGATCTGTTCCTACCCTCCCATACCTTACCGTCTTAATATTATTGTTTGGCTTTAACATGCTCCAGTCCTCCTTGCGCTCTGTTACGACTCTCGCTCACACTCGCCGTACTCCTTTTTTTTTCCCTTCTCATCCCTTCCCCGGCCGCATACTCCGTACTGCACTGACCTGACCTGACCTGACCTGGGCTGGGGCCTGACCTGACCGTACTTACCGACCGTATTTCTCTTGCCTCTTTCCCACGTCCCTGCACATTTGAAAGACGTACTCGTTCTCTTCTTCTTCTTCCTTCCTTCTCCGTTTGCAATTTCCTCCCCCAATTTGTAATTAACAGACGGATATCCTCTCTGGCTTGCTTCTTGCGCTCTTTCACACACTCACTCCAGACCAGTCCCTCATTGCCTCTGGATATCCCACACCCCCTGAGCAATCTCCGTCGCTGCTGCTGCTTCCTGCTCCTGCTCCTACCTTCTTAAACAACCACCTCGCCGCCCTCGCTCGCCCTCCAATAGACTTTTACCCTTTCCCTCCTCACGAATCCTCACTCTTACAACCTCCGACTACTGCGGCATTCTTACCTCGCCAACAATACCCGACCAACAGCCGATATACACTGTACACCCACTCGACCACATCCTCGGGCTCTGAGTTCCCGTCAGATCCAACCAACGACATCTCAAGAAGTGACTTGGCCGCTTGTTTGCTTCTCAGCCGTGCCTCTGCAGCAAGCACACTCCCACAACGGACTCCTTCTGTGGTCCAGTCGCTCCTTTCTGCTGCGCTGCGCTCCTCTGCCTGGGCAAACATCCCTCGGCCGATACGTCCACCGCTGATTCTCGTACTCGACGACTGCAACTCCTGCTGCATCCCGCCCCCCGCCCAGCTACTACTGTTTTTGCTGCAGTATTTTGTCACATTCGGTAAGTTACAACAAGCCTACTTGGCTTACCCGGCCACAGATGGCTGCAAACTCGCGGGCGTCCTTCCCCCCTCCCTTTGGAACTCCCTGGCCCATTACACAGGACTCCGGGAACCAGCACCTGCATTCGCCCGCGTGTGTGTCGCTCACGAGACCCTCTTCGTCTCACAAAACTACCGATGCTTGTTTGCGGCCCTTCGACTAGATATACTCTTGCTAACTTGCTTCCTCGGGGAACACCAGCCACACAAGAACGTTTCAACCTGCTTTGGTTACTTAGGCTTCGCAACTTACTCCAACGTCGAGTTCCAGCGTGTAATATTGGAGGATCTAGATTTGGTTTCTGACCAGTATTTACTGAAAGCGCGATTTCCGACGACTTGGAGATCAGTCGAGCAGAACGTATAACGTACGTTAAATCGACAGAACGAGAATCTCGAAGATGGCGGGTGATCAGGGAGCCGGTGGCGGCATAGAAAGCAACCGTCGCCACATGTCGACTTCGACTCGCAACGGCGAGAACGAGCCCATTCAGGAGTCTGAGCCGCAGACCGGAAAGCAGACGCAACAAGAGGAGGCGAAACCCCAGTTCAAGCAATCGTCACAAGTCTCTCCCAGAGGCTTCAACCCACCCTCGAACACATCAACACCCACAACAGCACCTCTCATGGCCAGAGCATCATCCAACAGTTCAACTGTATCAACGCCAAATGTGCCTACAGACAGCTACTTCGGGACTGTGCCGGAGGTCAAGGCTTCTGCTCCCCGGATCTCTCGGCCGATTGAGCCCCCTGTGACCAAGGTGACCCTAAGCGAGCTGGATGTCTGCAAAATTATGCACAACCCAAAGTTGCGTCATGACATCAACTTTGACCCCGAGTTGCACTTCCGCCCTAATCTGGACGGCGACAAGGGCAAGAGGAAACAACACAAGGCAGACCTTTTCTGGAACACCCTTCAGGAGCAGCTCATCCAGTTCGTGAGCGAACCAGAGTCCTTCTTCTCTGCACACGGTCAGGATGATGACTGGTGCTTGCCATCTTTGTTGAAGGCGGTTAAGGAAATCATTCAGACTTTGGTGCCCCAAAGAGACAGAGTTTACTTGGATGAGGGCCTCAATGTCGATTTGCTGATGCAGCAGTTCTACAGGGGAATCGCAGACTTGGAAAAGCTTGCTCTGTGGCTATCTCGAGTTCTCAAATCCCACTGCGCTCCGATGCGTGACGAGTGGGTGGACCAGATGTACACACAGTTGAGCAACGGAAACCGGACCAACAACGTGGATGAGCTTGTCAAGGGCATGAAAAGTCTGCTCAGTGTTTTGGAGGCTATGAAGCTCGACGTTGCCAATCATCAGATTCGCTGCCTTCGCCCGATCCTTATTGAGGGAACCATTCCATTTGAGCGCAAGTTCTTCGAGAAAAAGATTCAGGGGAGCAAGCTGGACGTCACTCAAGCAAATGCCTGGTATAGGGATGCTGAGCAGAGATATGCTGCTTCTGTGTCTCCCATCGCAGCTCATTCCTTTGGGGAGATGTCTGTCTTCTTTGAAGCCATCTCTCGCCTGGTCTTGCCCTCGGTATCCGAAAAGGCGTTGCCCAACACCTTCATCTTTGACGAAGAGAGATTCGGCAAGCTCCGGGCGGATATGTTGGACGCCATCAACTTGGAGGTCTGCATGCGCATGTACGACGACCTCGAGAGAGTAGGCCGATTGAACGCCCCTCTCTTCGCCAGCTCCTTCTCACAGTTCGACGACGAGCCTCGCAGCCGCCCTCTTTCCATGACTCCCGACTTCAACTTCAACACTCCGCCCTCGCGGCCGTCGAGTCTCGCCTTTAGCTCCGGCGACTCTGCCACTTCATCGCCCCGATCTTCTCTCATCCTACCGCCTCAACCTACCTCCGATCCCACAGAATCTCTTGCCAAGGCTAGAGATGTCTACAACTCCTTGGTCGCGCTGCTCCACACCTCGCCGCCGCCGCGTAGGCACGAATCTCGCTGGGAGGCCATTGCTCCCTCGCTGGCCCTTCAAATCTTCCGATTCACCAACGCACCCGCCGACATGCTACCGGTCTTCGAGTCGAAGCTCGCTTCCCACGTTTGCGACATCAACAGCCCCTTGTTCCAAGAGGTCGAGGCGCACTTCCACCACAGGCTTCTGATGGAGCTCCAGAAGCGAGTGCGCGAGTTCCGCGGGCTGACTGGGGTCGGTCTTTTCACCGTGGCCACTGGCGGCCGTGCCCAAGGCTCAGGACGATCCATCGGCAGTCCCGACCGTGAGGGCTCGGTCTCCGACAGCAACCGTGAGAACCGGGATGACGGCGGAATCGAGGACATGGCGACTCGGCTGGCACACCTTGGCATCCTCCACTGGAGAGTTTTCGCCGGCCTTGCATACACTGAAGAAGAGCAGGCCGACAGCTTGATGGAAATGAACCAGTTCTGAGGCATTCAGCCTTCATCTCCCAACACAACTCCATTTAATCAAGGGATGCTGGTCTCAAAAGAAAGACGAGCGACCCGACACGCCCTGGCCCTAGCATAGGGTTTCTCTATTATGTCTGGCCGAACAACAATACCCCTTTTTACAGTTTTTTAATTTTGATATTGCGGCTATTTTTCACAAGACTCTATTTGGCTATGGTGGGGGTAACGGAACCTTTAGACGGTGTTTGGGGGTATCAAAGCATCAAGCTCGCGAGCGCTCTTGCCGCAATGGATTACTTGGTTCGGCGTTGCATTGGGGAGGTGGTCACATCCAGATACATAGCGCACTTTTGGCATTGCTGAGACAGAAAACACAGAGTAACATTTCGCCATTCACATTTTGCTCCACCTCTTTTGCTCGTTCTATCATGGATTGTATTATGTGATTGGCATGCTAGATTGTGGATTGTTTGTCTGTCGGCTGTGTCCGCTGCAAGGTTGTATCCGCATAAAGCAAGCAAGTGCCATTGTTGTTGTACGAGAAGAAAAGAAAGATAACGCTGGACCGGTCTTGAGGCAGCCACAATCACAATCACATGCGGATGCCGGGTGATAGCCAATCGGTGAGTTTTGCTTGCATATCGATCCGGGACGTGGATGTATGTCTCCCATGTATGTATCCTTTTCCTTTGGGAGTTTTTGACGGGGTTTTGGTGGTGTTTGTGATTTTGGGTTGTACGTGGTTATGGAGTACATTCCAGACGTCAGTCGGGGCTTGTACGGTGGTTGCGGTACGTTGGGTTTGCAATGATGGGGTTCGGCTGGTAAGTCTACCTCTTTTAGCAGATTCTCTAATGTTAGTATGTGTTCCATGTCATGCTTTGGTGATTATGGAAGAATAGATATATTCTCAAATTGTATTGATTGGTCGTCTTGTCTATGTCCTGTTTGCCCTTCCTTGAATGCCACATGTTGACAAGTGCTCATTCAAGAGGCGTTGTTAGAAATCTGCCACGGATCACTCATGATCTCTAGTTGAAGGGAGATTGTGACGATTGATAGATATTTTGCCAATACAAAATACGTTATTTAGGAATCGAAGCTGACCTTAGCAGATACACTCTCAGTCGAAGTAAACGGAATCAGCTGAATGTCTGAAGCACTGAAAAGGAGAGAAGACGATGAGAGGTCACGATGAATGACAGGAGCAAAAAGGGAGCTTTCGTTCTTCAGCAAGGTAGCGCGGCCGTACAACGAGGGCCTGTTGACCATTCACACTTCCCGACAGCTTTCCCTTACTCGACGGACGACTATTCTGTCCAGTTCCGGAAAGGTCAACCATTCCGCGTTACCGGAGGCCATGAAGAGTTGTGGTTGTGGACTTGTTCTGGATAGCGGTTCAGTCAATGGGTCACGACCTCCACCACGCTCACTCGTGTCTTTTTGCTATTTGCCCTTTCTTTTGCATTCACGAGACGCGGCGACAGAGTTCCCCCTGAAGTCGAGGTTATCTACATGTCTTCTAGCCCTACTTTCATCTCTTGCGTATCGGTGAATAATTCAGAGCCTGACGTTCCAATCGCGGTTCAATGTAGTGAGTATCAAAGAGTCACGTAGAGAATTCCGAGTCGGGAAATGCTGGTTCACTCCAAGATCCTCCAACAGCGGGCCCAGTCATATCGAACTGCTGATCAAAGCTGCAATGCGTGGTTTGGAGGGACTTTTCGTGATATTGCGCGTGTGGCGTCTAACCGTACAAATCCACAAGGCCCCTATCGACGGTTTTCGGTTTCTTTCCTAACCGGTTGCTCGTTACTGGAAGGGACTGAAGACAGAAAAAAGACGTACGAATATTGCCTTCGAGACCTGTCACCAGGCTATCTTGTCGGCTACTATTCTATTACTTTGATATGCCAGTTGTTCTGGCCATCTCTCGAACGTTCATGCAGTCTATGTTGGCACGTGGGGTACTGGAGCCAACACGGTTTCCTGCTCTGGTGACTTGAGCTTTCTCCGGAGAAGAGAAAATTGCCTTGTACTTTTTGGTGCCATTCTTCCCTGTAGATATAGATGAACTCTCTTTTACGTGTGTCGACTTCCGCCCCATGTTCTTTTTTTTTTTTTTTTTTTGGGCGTATGATCCAATAAATTGTCTGCTTCATGACGTCGATTTGGTTAGCACTGCTCTCTGATCTGATGCCAGCAGGTTGATGTATGCATCGATAGCAAGACATTAGTCGCGGGTATGGTGCTCTGTTCCAATGGAAAGACATTGTCTGATGGTGTTCCCATCGCCTCGACTATTTTTGTCTTCGAGGTTGCTTGTTGTTCCAACAAAGGTTCGATCAAAGTAGTATAAGGCGAGGTGGCAGGCGACGCGTGCGATTCGAAGACAAGGATACCAAAGATTAGGACAGACAGGACAAGATTGACACCAGTATTGATGCCGCGGATACGGCTGGTTCAGTCTCGATAGGTAATTCTCAGGCAGCCGTGGCGCTTCGGAAAATATGCGACGGTAGATGAATTTAATTAACTTCAATTTGAGACGATATCATGGACAGATTAAGGCTACAAACCACTAAAGAGTAATTACGTACGGAGATATCGCGACGGGTAAGCTTTTCTGCCTACTTACGTGGCCAGGATTACATGAAACACACTTCAAGATTGAAGTCCGTACAGATTGGTAGCAAAGATGTATGTTTTATTACTTCATATCCAAGTGCTTCTTATCCAGAGACTTTATGTTCTCGATACTAAGATATATCGACGAGTAGTTGACGAAGAGCTTATCGATGGTGGTTTCTCCGGAATATGACTCAGATTTTGTTGCTGCCACAAATCTTACATCTCAGATGCAAAGCTTACGAACCTCGACGACTTTCCAGATCAGGACCGAGAGAAGTCGCCTACTGGGCGACGAGGGACCGTTGAAAGCGTACGAGAAGGCACTGGGCTGCTTCGAAGCTTGTAGTCAGAGACAAACCGTCGGTTTTAGAACCCTGAAAGTCATGCGTGGCACAGCCTACAAATGTACATGACGTCTAGATCAACGCCAGTGTCGGAACCGCAGTTGCCGTCGACGGTGGCGGAATTTCTTGCATTATTTCTACTGTCGCCGGACAGTACCCATATACTACTGATATCGTTATGCGGGTCTCATTGACCGTAGCCATATCCTCTTTCTTACGCCTGGCGCTGGCATCCATCTAACAAAGCAATGTTTCATTTCCCAGACCAACTCCAAACCATTTAACAAGTCTTTTCGTACCCCCATCGAGAGGGGTTCCGCTCGCGCGCATTCATACAAGGAGGGGTTGAGTGTTTAGTTGATGAGCATGGAGACCTATCGTTACCCAGTTAGAATCGCAGAGGAGAGTAGTTGGGGGAGGGAGAGACTTGCCGCCATGACGACACAGCATAAGCTGATGTATGGACTTAACCGTTCGCCAACTCTTGCGAATTTCCAAAATATGCCCATGATACTGTCGAAACATGTTAGCAAACATGTTCCTACACGTGTGCGTGCCATTGGTGATCCTACCCGTCCTTGTTCCGGTCCATGATGGCGGGCATGAGCTGGTGCGCGTATGCGCATGTGCAAATGAGAAGGAGAATGACGAGGAGGAGCGACTGGAAGTTGAATAGGGCGGTCTGTGTCTGGGTTAGTACGACTATGGTATACTGAGCATGATCGCGGAGCTTGACATACCATATTTGCAAGTTTAGTCCCTCTTTGAGAGTGAGTTGGCGGCTTGAACGGGGAATTTTGCGTATATGGACAACCTAGCTTGACGGTCGCGATACAGGTGGCCTAGGGGTGCAGTTGTCTTCAGCCTCTCCTCGGTGGACAAGGTGGCCTGGAGAGTTTGTGCCACATGTGGCCTGAGCTTGGAGCTCTGCATCAGCCACGTTTGGATGTCGAAGCGCCACCCCCACAGCCAGCAGGGGTGCTGGACAAGGCCCAGAACCTGAGGCTCAGGAAGGTGCCTTATCTTATCGCAACCCTGCAAGCTGAGGTGCCTTCTGTTCTGTGCCGTGAAGTCTGTCACTCAATCCCAAGCACCTACCTACCTACCTACCTACCTAACTCTCAGCTCTCCACGACGACTCTACCCTAGCAATCCGGACACTGAACCTACGCGCATCACGAAAGAGCCCTTTCGAATCCGTCCAGAGCGAATACAAAGAAAATCAGAAACATCTTGCCCTTCACGATCGGATAATCAGGAACTACCTGTCCATCATGGAGCCTCGCGCCCGCGCCGCCAAAAATGTTGGCAAAATGAACTTCAGCCACAACGAGCGTATGTTCCTGCCTCTGTAGAACTCAGCGAAACCAGTCGCCGGGAAATCAAACTAATAAAGCTCGCATTCTGCAGTGGCTCAACTACTATACGCCCACGGCGACGTAAGGAATCCGCTCCCCGAAACGATTCGCGTGCTCGACGAGATCGTAACCGAGTTCATCCAAGGCATGGCCTTCGAGGCGACGCGCGCAGCCAACTACGCGGGAAGGCAGAAGGTCAAATACGAGGACTTTGAATTCGCGTTCCGCAAGAACGACGCCTTTCTCGGAAAGGTCCAGGAGGTCTTTGAGAAGAAGGGCGAGATCGAGTCGGCCAAGAAGATTTTCACAAAGGACGACGAGGCGGTGCTCATGAAGGACGCCGCGGACCAGGAGCACGGCAAGAAGGATAAGGCTGCCAACGGTACGGGCGAGGCTTCGAGTGCGGCGGACGCGGCGGTGAAGCAAGAGGAGGAGCTGGGCGAGGCCGACGACGACGCTGATGCCGAAAGTGAGGTCGCGGGACGACCGTCGAAAAGGGTCAGATTGGACGGGGACGGGAAGTGAGTTAACTTCGGGTAATACGGGTGGAAAGTACGGCCATTTGGGCTCCTTTTTTTTTTTTTTTTTGGGATGAGGCATAGCATTAGGCGTTTGTTGGATGGTGGTCTTGGGGTATTGGCTTTGATATCATCCTTACAAGGGGGGTCTGGCTTAGGAGGGGTCAAAAAGCATCATATTCACAATAGTCAAATGGACATTCATCAATTTTTGGAAGACTTACTGCGAAAGGCAGTTGATTTCTCCTAGGGATAGCAACTGAGTTTCGGAGACTAGCCGAAGTCTGGTAGATATGAGCCAGGTACCCATGCATGTTGACCGATATCTTGTCTAACGACCAAGCATCAAGGGCTTTCAGTCGGATCATGTAGGATCATCTATTTACATATGCTATGTATTGCTGTGACCGAGTTGAGAGAAAGTCATTTGACAAGGCCATCGAAGTCTGGTCGAATAAGACCACCTCTTGGAATTGTATTGCTTTGGACTTTCGATCTACAGCTTAGCAGAGACAGTACTGAAAAGTCGATACGAAAATCATCAAGGTTCAGCCGCTTGCATATTTCGACATGCATTCGAACGGCTTAAACTTTAAAGTTTACAAGCAACCAGAAACACGGGTTTCTGGCATCTGCCCGAGTCATCCAACCCCATTTGCTCCGAATCGGTGCCGGGTCCGCCGCTGTCGGTGTTTGTGCGAGTGGATCCGCGCCGAGAAAGTGGGCTGGTTCAGCCCCCCGGCAAACGACATCCGGCGCATTTCTCAGTGCCTTCCTTCTCTGGCAAAACCTGGGAACATGGTGTGGTTGCGATATCGGGGGGGGGGGGGGGCAAATTCCCTAATCAGTCTACAGGTGACACCCAGCGATGATCATACTGTTTCTGTTTTCTCGGTGTCGGCGGCGCATCAGCGGAACAAAAGGGCGCCCTTGCCAGCGGGTTGACGCCGGGCTAGCGGTAGCGGGGGGTTGGTTGGTTAGTTTCTATCGAATCCTCTGGGCGTTTCTCAAGTGGGTTGGTTCATGACCATTCGATGCTGGGGGATTCCCACTCTGCCCACAGCTCTTTTCCCTCCTCTAGCAAATCCGCATTGCTGCATTCGCCAACACTGACTTGACTGACACACTTGGAGGGATTTCAGAGGGGGTCATCTTCTCACGCATCTGCCACTAACACCCAGTAAAGAGAAGACGGGCACGACGGGATGCATGGGTGGGAGACCTGATGGTGGGCTATGCAGGCACGCCAGGCAGCATGTGCCTACGCCGCCGCACGCAATCAACCAACACATTTTGCACATCGATACTCCTCCGCTCCCACCTCCGCCCCCGTCTCCGCCCTGGTGAGGAACTATCCCGAGTGACTGACTGAGTAACTGACAACCAGGGCCCCATACACTACTTTACTCCAGCCTCCCCACTTCCGATGAACGATGGGGAATCCTTTTGGTTTCTGCACCTTTTGTCTTTCCCTGTGACTACACCCCGCTTCAATGCATGGTCGAAAATTTCTGTCTATCTCTGTTCAAGTGAAGATTTCATTCTTAAACACGCTATTTTGAATATCGAGTGAGCTGGCCGAGATCACTTCTCGCACCGGAGATATAGCCTACTTACGTACGCCAGCCCTACTGCTTCACTCTCCATGGCTTTGGACCTATAGACATGACATCACCTAGCCGCCATGTCCGAACAGAAGCAGAACCATGATAACCTATTCGTTCCTCGAAACACCGAGGCCAAGTTGAGGTCTGATGGAGAACCAGAACACACTGATGAAGCCAGTCAGAGGTTATCAATAGACAGCAAGATGTCCTGGTCACAAGACCATGGGAAGGGACTCTCAGCCCTACCAGATCCAGATTCGTTCCGCAGATTCTCCACGAGCCCGTTCCAGAATGGGAGGACGTCACCGTTACCAGGGGCAGAGTACCCTCCAACAGTATTACAGAGTTCTCAAAAGAATACGAAACTGGCGGCGTTCTGGCAGACCAACAAAGGCGTCGTCTTGGTGGCATTATCACAACTATTCGGTGCTCTGATGAATCTCACAGCAAGGCTCCTCGAGCTCGAAGGCGAAGGAATGCACCCACTCCAGGTGCTCTTCGCCCGGCAAAGCGTCACGATGGTCTGTTGCTGCCTCTACATGTACTACATGAAGACGCCCGACTTCCCCTTTGGAAAGAAGGAAATCAGATGGCTTCTCGTTGCCAGAGGCGTGACGGGCTTCTTCGGCATCTTTGGCATGTGGTACTCGATGATGTATCTCCCCCTCGCCGAGGCCACCGTCATAACTTTCCTGGCCCCCAGCGTCGCCGGCTACGTGTGCTATCTCGCCCTCCGCGAACCGTTTACCAGAAACGAGCAGATCGGCACCGTCATCGCCTTCTTCGGCGTCGTCCTCATCGCCCACCCGACCTCGCTCTTCTCCGGGGACTCGACGTCCACGGCCGCCGCCACCGCGCCGGAAACCCCGGGCCCGAATAATGGGACGATGACTTCGACGCTGCCGGGACTGAACCACCAGGCTACGACGGCGGAGCGGCTAATGGCCATCGGGGTTGCGATAGTGGGTGTGTTCGGCGCCGCCGGAGCATTCACGACAATCCGGTGGATCGGGAAGAGGGCGCACCCGCTCATCTCGGTGAACTACTTTGCGACGTGGTGCACCATCGTCTGCACCGTCGTGCTCACCACCGCGCCCATGCTCGAGATCGGACAACCCGCCCTGCGATGGGGTCTACCACAGACGGGACGGCAGTGGCTCTTCCTCGTGCTGCTGGGCGTGTTCGGGTTCGTGATGCAGTTCCTCCTCACGGCGGGGCTCGGCACGGATCGGTCGAATAGGGCGAACGCCATGGTGTATACGCACATGCTCTTCGCGGCAGGGTTCGACCGGTTCATCTTTGGCAACGTCATGGGGTGGATGAGCCTTGCGGGCTGCGGGCTGATCATCGGAAGTGCGCTTTGGGTGGTGCTGACGAAGAGAGCATCGGCGCCCAAGAGGGAGGCGGATGTGGAGGTTGCCAACGTGCGGGATACGGAGGCTGTGCCGATGTTGGCTGATATGGATGGTGGAAGGGACGAAGATTTTGAGCTTCAGAGAGTGAGGTGATGATGTTTCACGGCTTACGATGTATGATGTTTGGATCTAAGCCAATAAGATGAAGAAAAGGGACTCGAGAATTAGAGATACTGGCCAGGCCAACTGGCCTGCGGCATTTGATAGACGCCCACAAAAACGCGTCTTGGGTAAATTGTACCGATATCCTTTACGGAGCAAGGTATTAGACATTGGCACTTCACAGAATATGAGTCCTTAACATGCAGTGCTTACTGATTGCCCATATCGGCAAAGAGTTCAGATCTCCCCCGAGAATAGAATGAATGATGGAGCAGGAGACTTCAAGGTATGTGGCAGCGAAGCTCTGGACTAAGAGAGAATACAGGTAGAGCACAAGCTGGACAACACTCTGCTCAATCCTATCTCACCACGCAATCGATCGAAAGAGCCTATCGAAGGACATTTGTGCTTGTGGTCTGGAGTCGGTAATTAGATTGCTTCATGAGCTCGGGCGAAGGGGCAGACCCTCTGCCCTGAGAAAGTAGCTTGCCAGAGCCAGATCTCAGGACATCGTGTGTTTGTAATACAGCCTAATTCACCGAGAACTCAATTCATCTGTCACGGGAAGCCGAACTTCGGCGATCATCTCCGAGCATCGTCGATGGGCCTTTCACTCGACCGAGACCTTGGTTTCCCACGAACGACGTCACAGGGGATTCTTTAGGGGACTTTCGAGAAAAGGCACCGAAACGTGTCGCCAAGCCAAGGGGGTGACACTGACGGCTTACGCATCCAAGGGGTGACTTCAGGATTCCAGCACGGCGGAACGCTGTTTGTAGACGGATTACACTGGTGGAGAGGGTCTCAGTGAGACAACAGTCTCAACATTCCCGAACGCGGGAGCAAAACTGTGATTGAAATTAGCATTTGAGTCAATTTGACCTGAGCACATGGGGTTTGACGTTCCCGATCGCACATCATGGTCCGATGAGAATTTCTTCGCTTTATGAGAGACATGTTGTGCAAAGTCAAATATTTTCCCTTCTACAGCATATTTGAAAAGTACCAGCCGCTGTTGAGGGTTGGAGCGTTTGGCGAAATAAGAAGAAGCTGCTTCTGTCCGTGTATTGCGTGTTGATCCACCATTTGTGTACAGCATTTGGTACGGTGGCCGGTCCTTTACTCAATCATTTTGTTGTCATAAATTGTGAAACAAATTTGCATAGTTTCCTAAGCATCAGATCAATATGAAATTCTAAAATATTGGTCAAGTGCGTGAGAACAAGCTGAAATGATCTGGGTGAAGTTGAATGAGGCGCAAACGGGAAGCTATCCACAGGTCACGTGTGGGGCAGCCGATTCCTAATGTGGAAGTCGGCGCCTGCACTGTGCACCTGGAAGTTTGCAGGGATAGACTGAGGCGCGTCGCCCCGAAATCTTTTGGAGCTTCATCCAATTCTGTCTGTCACCAACCACCCACCCCCAAGGCCAACGATCCATCACGACCGCGACATATTTGCTGACACTCCGATCAATTTTCCCATACACGATTGAATTGTTGATACCACACGAATTGACCGCCGGCAACCGACGCTTCCGCCGCGAAGATGGTCCAAATCAGCGAGGTTAAGGGAAACAGTCGCGAGAACCGCACGGCTGCCCACACCCACATCAAGGGACTGGGATTGAAGCAGGATGGCACAGCAGAGAAGCAAGCCGCTGGCTTCGTCGGCCAGTCGACGGCAAGAGAGGTGCGCTGATGATTGATGGCCACAACCTCATACCAAGGCAATCACTAACTTCGCGACAGGCAGCTGGTGTTGTAGTTGACCTTATCAAAGCACACAAGATGGCCGGCCGCGGCGTTCTGCTGGCTGGTGGACCCGGTACAGGAAAGACGGCTCTCGCTCTCGCCGTCAGTCAAGAACTCGGAACCAAGATCCCCTTCTGCCCGATTGTCGGCAGCGAAATTTACTCGACAGAGGTGAAGAAGACGGAGATGTTGATGGAGAACTTCCGCCGGGCCATCGGCTTGAAGGTTCGGGAAACGAAGGAAGTGTATGAAGGCGAGGTTACGGAGCTTACGCCTGAAGAAGCCGAGAACCCTCTGGGCGGATACGGCAAAACCATCAGCACACTTCTGATCGGCCTGAAGAGCGCAAAGGGACAGAAGAAATTGCGTCTGGATCCCAGCATATACGAGGCCATCCAGAAGGAAAGGGTTTCAGTGGGAGATGTCGTCTACATCGAGGCGAACACCGGCGCTTGCAAGCGCGTGGGAAGATCAGATGCCTATGCGACCGAGTTCGACCTCGAGGCCGAAGAATACGTCCCCATTCCCAAGGGCGAGGTGCACAAGAAGAAGGAAATCGTGCAGGATGTGACGCTACACGACCTCGATGTTGCCAACGCGCGGCCCCAGGGTGGTCAAGACATCATGAGCATGATGGGCCAGCTGATGAAGCCCAAGATGACTGAGATCACGGACAAGCTGCGCGGAGAGATCAACAAGGTGGTGAGCAAGTACATTGATCAGGGTGTTGCGGAGCTCGTGCCGGGTGTGCTCTTCATCGACGAGGTAAGAAATCTTTGAATGTCTGGCGTAGTTGATAGGGAATCGTGGGTTAATCATTTATGACAGGCACACATGCTCGATGTCGAGTGTTTCACGTACCTGAACCGGGCTCTGGAGTCCCCCATTGCCCCGATTGTCATTCTGGCATCAAACAGAGGAATGGCCACGCTTCGCGGCACGGATGATATTGTCGCGGCGCACGGCATTCCGGCAGACTTCTTGACTCGCATGCTCATCATTCCAACCACGCCGTACCAGGCCGATGAGATCAAGCGTATTGTTCGCATCAGGGCCACCACCGAGGGTGTGCCTATTACCGACGCTGCCCTGGACAAGATCGCGGAGCATGGCGTCCGCATCAGCTTGCGGTACTGCCTGCAGCTGTTGACACCCGCCAGGTGAGTCTACGGTGAACCAAACCATGACAACATTGCCCTGTTTCCCACCGCCTTTGCTTCATCCCTAAAGCCATTCCCCCATCCCCTCTCTGTTGTGGACCATGGATCGACCGGCTAGTGTGAGACAAGTGAGCTAACCCCAATGAAAGCATTCTTTCCAAGGCAAACGGCCGCAGCCAAATCGACGTCCAGGACGTGGCCGAGTGCGAAGACCTCTTTTTGGATTCGCGGCGCAGCGCCAGTCTCTTGAGCAGCGAAAGCGGCAAAGGATACATTTCGTGAGACGAGTGCAAGAGGTGATGGTTGGACGATACGCGAGGAGAAGTCATAGAGCCCATGTCGGCTTCTTTCTCGAATGAAGGATGGCGGCGGCGTTGTAAAAAAGAACTTGTTACAATTATCGAGACCAACAGGTATTCCATGGAGTTGTTCTTTGACATGAAATATTCATCTGGGAGAGAGGACCAGTCATCTGTCGACAAGCGGTCTGGGGGACTCGACTGTATGTGTTTGAATCGGAGTACGAGTGTGGTTAGACGACATGGCGCACGCCTTGGAACTGTGAGCAAAGGCATTGAATCCTTTTCACGTTATCCCACTTGGCTTGACTGGGCATCCGGAGGTTTGGATTGTGAAGAAGAGAGCGCGCTGTTTGCAAAACAAAACGACTGTCAAGCTTTCCAGATGAGGAAAAAATAGAACCGCCCATCCCGACAGTGTTGAGACATTACAGGCCGCGAACCATAAAAACGCAAGTTTAACGAGAGACAACCCACGCACCGCCAATGCCAGTGCCAATGCCAGTGCCATTCTTTCCTAACAATAACTAGATGGAAAATGTCCTTCACCGCGTCTTGTCTTTTTTCCTGGCTGCTCTCCCAGAGTTCCCGTTCTGAACCCCGGCTCCCCCTCCCATCCGCCCGTACTTTTGCGTCTGTCATCAGAGACATCACCAACGCCAAACGCATTGTGTCCTGCCGATCAAATTTTAAAATTTCTAGTATCCAACAGACAGAAGAATGAAGCAGAGGAATTTCCTCATGGGCCCAGCTTATCCGCCCTTTCCCTTCTTTTCATCACGTGGGAGATGTGTCCAACCAACCTAGCCTAATTTCGGCCGGGGGTTGAGTGAGGAGAGGGAGGGGGGCAGACTTCTTTACATTGTCTTTGTTCCTTTACCGGGGCGGGCTTATGATTGAACATTCCAACCGGGGAACACAGCGCTCTCGTCCTCTCTGTGCATTCATTCCTTTACTGCCGCCTTTAATCTTCTGCCCCCGGTACACAGTCCTCATTCTGATCCTGGCCACACCCATCCAAGGGTCATTGTTTCTGACGTCCACCCCCAGCCCATGAGTCTGCAGTCGGTCTGCGGCTTCTTTTGAAGAGAGGGACTGGTTGGCAAAGCAGGGGGGGGGGGGGGCAAGGAGGAAGAGCCCAGTCGCGGCGGCAGAGACAGCGGCTGCTGCATTAGTAGCAGCAGCAACACATGCGGGATGGGCATTGTAGATGGTCTGGGCTTGACTGCATTGCTGATGACATGAAAGGAAAGAAATGCCTAAAATAACATGGGGGGGATGAGAAATCCAGACTGCTTTGAGCAGCACATAGCCTTCCTCGTCTTTCATCCAACCAGGGTAAACCTCTACCTATCCTCACCAAACAAGACTTGAAGTTGAATGTGGAGGGATATTCTTCAAAGTCGCGTCTCCGTGTCTCGTTGTTGTTCATACCTTTGAGTCATTATTCATCTTTTTGCGTCCTCGTCTAGGTCGCTTTTGCTACCGCCGCATCCTTTCCCGCCTTCTACGGCTCCATCTTCGGACTTGGGGACCCGAAACTTGCCTATTTCTTGTTCTCAAGGTCTGAGGGCAAGAAAGGCATTTACCCATTTCTTGGCCCATACTCTGTCTCCCCGTCTCCAACGCTCTATGCGAACGGAACGCCTGGGCGAGTCCTAAAGAAGAGAGAGACAGACATAGACGACGCGGGCACCGGTCACCACAGGGCAAACGCTTCTTCACAAAGAATCCCATTTCCCTCATCTGCAACAACCTTGGGTCTCCGGTACATTCCCGAGACACATTTCCCACCCCCCAAAGGATCAACATCTCTCTCTCTCTCTTGCGAGCTTACCCTTTTTACTTCTTTTCCGTTTCCTGACTTCAGTTCGTCCATCCTTCCCGCCTCTCCCTTTGCTCACCACTCAGATCCATCTCCTTCCCTGCTCAGAGCCGTCGGTCAACCGTCGTCGTTGACGCTGGTCGCTGTTCGTCGCTGTCGTCTCGACGACATCGTACCAACCGCCCTGCCTACCCTGATGTTCTTTCTTCCCCATAATGGCCACCTCCATCTTTGAACATAAAGTCATTGAGTTAGACAGTCATTGTCTGCTCGGTTTCTGCTGAATGAGAAGTCGTCGTCTCGATATCACAAAGGAGAAGGGGAAAAAGGTCGGAACGAACAATCGGCCATCGAACAAAAGTGATCTCGGCCCCGTCTCGTCTCGTTCCAACTTACCGATATACTGCTTCGCCTGTCTCTCGCACGTCTGTCAAATCATTGCTGCCTTTCCTGCTCGCCCAAGTCCACAACTACACGGATTCGCCAACACTCTTCGAACCCTAACTCAACCCTAGCATCCCGTCGTGTCTCTCACCATTGACAACGTACATACACCCCCTGTCTCTTCTGCTTCTTCAAACGCCCCCCTTTCCGAAGCATGGTGTAAGTCCAAACGTCTCATAGCTTCGAACGCCTCGCCCACTTGTCCCCAGTCCCAACTCGCATCTGTTTGCACACCTCCTGCAAACCCTTACAACCCAAAAGATGACAGATGTGGTCTCTACGCCTCGGCCACGGCGGTCAACCTCTTCCTCTGGTGGCATCTCTGCCCATTCGGCCATGGAACGAAGAGCGAGCCAGGAGACGGACGAGGGACCAAACTCTGCAGGCTCTGCTGGCAGTCGCGCGAGCAGAAAGCGCGTTACGTCCATTGATATCGAGGAAGCGAACACCTCTAAAGTGAGAAACCTCAGCTTGGAGACCAGACCGATGAGTAGCCAGAGCGGCAAGGATACCATCTGTCTCTGCACGCCCGGACTCAAGATCCCAAGGCCTCGCAACCGTGAGTCGCACATTTCCCACTCTTCGTCCCACATCGTCGGTCGACACATATTCGTCACAGGCCTGATCTGAGACCGGCCTCGGGGGACTCTTCTTTGTTGGACGATCCAAACAGACTGCTGGACACTTGTGTAATGCCCGTTGACTGACGTTGTTCTTTGACAGCCTTCATACTGTATAGACAACACCACCAGGCTACCGTCTCCAGCGAATTCCCAGGCCTTTCCAACCCAGATATATCCAAAATCATAGGACAGCGGTGGAAATCACAGGACCCGCGAGAGAAGGAAATTTGGAGGCAACTTGGAGAAGAGGAGAAGAGACGGCACGCGGAAGACTACCCAGATTACCGCTATCGGCCTCGTCGGGGTAGATCTAGGAGTCAAACAGGATCGTCAGCCTCGACTAATCCAGGACGGTGCCCCAACTGTGGTGGCAGATTCATCGCAACGCCGAGAACGCCGTCAACACCAGCAGGCACACCGACAGTCGCAAAACCAAAAATGCAGCCGCATCACCCGAGCGAGGCTCGCAGCGGGGACAGCGATCACCTTCGGCGTGCTTTACCTGGAGAGAAACAGCCCTACCAACACCAACACAACAACTTGCGGGACGTGGAAGAAGAATACGAACCAATGTCGCCATCCCCCGAGCTCAAACGACGCCGAATCAACCCCTCTACGGGATATTACCAGGCAGTTCCTTCATCCGGTCCATACACAGGCCATCCTCTATCGAGGCAGCCTAGGTCATCGGTGAGTATGCCTCCTACGCCGCCTGTCGCCGGCTACGGGCCTTTGCCCGGTCCATCATCACTCGCGAGGCCCGGGTATAGTAACATGGCGCCCCCTCCTCCACGACCGCCCCATCCGGCGAACGCGGGGCCAAGCCGCGGCCCGGGCTACGATGAGAGTCTTCGACTGCCGCCCCTCCAGACCCAGTCGTCTCCGCCAATCAACAGAGACAACGATATAAGCGACCGCCCGAGTGCACACCCAATGACTGGCATGGGCATCGCAAACCCGAGAGATAGATATGCTCAAAGCCTCGAGGCCATGATCATGACGATTCCTTTCTGGAGCAAGCTGAAAGTCCTGCAAAAGATCAGCCCGACCTTGGCTCCGCCGGGACCGGCCAGTCCTGAAATCGAGATTCGCGGCGCAGTCGTTGCCGTTGAAGGGGCTGATCCTAGACAGCTAGAGCAGGTGGGAACGGCAGTGCATCGGTCTCTCCTCGGCTTGAGCGAGATTGATCTGAAGACGTGGAGCGAGGGGCCGAGTAGGCCGTTGTCTGGCCTGTCGGCCGAAGATGACGCAAGGATGAACGACACGGCCTCTGCTGGCGGCAGCAGCAGGAAGAGCAGCCATTCGCAGCCCAACTTACACGCCTCGGAGCTGTTCTCTAACTATATGGAGAGCATCCTGAAGTGGCATGTGAAGTCGCGAGAGATCATCAAACACGTCTCCACTAAGCCGACTTTCGCATCGGATCCGCCTCCGCTCACGAGGCGGGCATCGGAGGGGGAGGGTGTCGGGTCTCGACATAGTTCAATATCGGTACCCAGCAAAACACCAGTTGCGCTGCTCCCCGCGGGATTCAGTTTGACTCTATCAGACAAGTACGCTTGCACATTGCCCATCTATGATTGCTATGCCCCAATCGACCATTGGCAATGGGTATCGACTTTGTGGAGGGGAATCATTGGACCGGACCTTGTCATCTACGTCAAGTCAGTGACTGAGGAGGAAATCACTCACGCAGGTGCAGTTGAGTTCCGAGGCCACGGTGTGATGGTGGTGAGAGTTGCGCATAATAAGCCATTGGACGAGAAGACTGAGCGACGCATCTCTTTTGAGCTGGTGGAGTGGATTCGAGGAGGTAGCTATCAGGAGGGATTCGGGCGAGGTTGAGATGGCTACAAAAGCAGACTTAATAATGTGATGATTTTCAGCGGGATGCGGTGACGGATTTCCTTCTTTTCGGATTGAGACACACTATTGATTTTTCTTGACATAGCGTAGGCGTAGATAGGCAACCAAAATACTGAGCAAACGTATTGAGTCGATTATTAGACAGCGCGTGCTTCGAGTGAGTGCATCTGAACGCCCAAATAGGTCAAACGATATCTCCCTGCGTTGTGTCGAGAGCCGATCTGCTACGCCCTGACTACTTTATAGAGTGATGCATTTCATGGGCGTTTTGCTGAAGGGAATGAGACAATGTCGCTGTGTATTTCTTTGAAGCGCGTTTGCTTTGTGTTTGAGGCAGCATTGTTGTCGTCTACTACCCGTGTCTTCTTAGTAAGGCCTTATGATGGATGTCGGTCACTTGTACACAGTACTGGTGTATGAAGTTATCCATTAGGAAGTCTCGCTTAAGCTCATAGCAGAAGACCCTGAGATGCGAGGCAGAAACTAGCCAATCAGGCACTGACTTTGTATTGACATCACCCCTACTAAACCCCTTGTCAGTTTAGTCGCAGGTGCCGCAGCAGCAGCAGCAAGCTCCAAGCTCCAGCGCGTTTATCCGATTGGGACGCGCTCCCAATGGCCCCCTGGGTGACATCCAAACACAACGTAATCTTCCAAGTACACACCACTCATCACGACGGGGCCTCAACGACTGGCCTACGCCCCACGATACCGACAGCAATAACGAACATGGTTATCTCCCAGTAGACTCACAACCGCGGAACAATGTCGGAGCTCGCAGTTGGCCAGACGGTACGTCTATCAGACGGCCGGACTGGCATCGTTCGCTTCGCCGGTGGAACGCACTTCGCTAGCGGTGATTGGGTGGGCATTGAGCTTGAGGATGATAGCGGGAAGAACGATGGCAGCGTTCAGGGCGAGCGATACTTTGACTGTGCCCTTGGGCATGGCATGTTTGTGCGCCCGACGACATTGGCCATCATCGCCCAGGCGCCTGCTCCGGCGGCGAAGCCAGCAGCTCGCAGGCCTAGCCGGCCGAGCAGCTTCAATCCTGGCGCTGGGAGGACGACCAGCGACACGGGTTTGACCAAGAGGATGAGTCTGAATGCGCCGAGTCCTAGTCCGGGACCTAAGGTGTCCCGGCCGGGGAGTACATTGAGGGTGAGTGTACAGATACCTGTGTATACCAAGAGCAACGACTCACCATGGATATGTAGTCACCGACCAAGTCACCCACAAAACAGCTCGGATCAGCAACATCGAGTACCGCGCCATCGCGAACTACCACACCGTCCAATACACGTACACCAGCTACAGCTGCCAAAACGCGGCCAAGCGTGGGAACCTCTCGCAGCTCCATGGGACCTCCACCGATACCCGCCAATAGAACCACGAGACAACCCTCGACATCTTCAGCTCCCACACGGCCCACCCCAGGAAGACCTAATAGTGGTCGACTTTCCATCTCTGGACGGACTGCGGGTTCTGCGAGAAGGCCCTCCGCGGACATGGGAGCTGGGAAGAACGCCGACAGCGGCGAAGACGCAGGTGCCACGTCTCCCAACAAAGATGGCGAGACAAGCCCCGTGAGAGCAAGGACAAAGGCTTTGGAGAAGCTCACATCAGGCTCCGCGTCTACAACGCCTACAAGCTCAACAAAACCAGCGACAACCGCCCGTTCTACACCAAATGCCGCCGCTGCGAATAGAGAGATAGAGGACCTCAAGGCCAAGCTGAAAGTGCTTGAGAGAAAGAGATTGGAGGACAGAGAGAAGTTGAAGCAATTGGACCAGGTCCAAGGCGAGCGGGACAGATTCCAGTCGATTATAGAAAAGTTGCAGGCGAAATATCAGCCTCAGCAAAGCGAGAACAATGAGTTGCGAAAACAATTAAAGGAGGCAGAGGAGAGGTTCGAATCCATCGAATCAATGCAGATGGAGCATGAGACCGCCTTGGAGCTGGCCACATTGGACCGTGAGATGGCTGAAGAGACGGCCGAGGTTCTTAAGGTTGAACTTGAGGCTCTGAAGCAGAAGTCGGAAGAGCTTGAGCTCGAAGTGGAAATTCTCCGCGAAGAGAATGCGGAATTCGGCCAGGGTATGTCAGCGGAAGACCGAGCCAGCACCGGATGGCTGCAGATGGAGAGGACGAACGAGCGGCTCCGCGAAGCTCTCCTGCGATTGCGCGACTTGACTCAGCAACAAGAGGAGGAGCTCAAGGACCAAATCAAGACTTTGGAGGATGATCTCCAAGAATTTGGCACCGTTAAGGAGCAGTTTGATGCGGCGAAAGAAAAGTTGGCCCAATCCGAGGCTGCAGTTGAGGATCTTCGGCAACAACTCGATAATGCTTTGGGCGCTGAAGATATGATCGAGGACCTCACTGAGCGTAACATGAGCATGTCTGAGCAAATCGAAGAACTCAAGGCCGTCATCGAAGATCTCGAAAACCTAAAGGAGATCAACGACGAGCTGGAGATCAACCACGTCCAGAACGAAAAGGAGATGCAAGAGGACCTCGACTTCAAGGACAGCGTCATCACGGAGCAGGCGCGACGGGCGGGCGAGCAAGAGGAGGCCCTGGAGGACATGGAATACACCCTGTCCCGCTTCAGAGGACTGGTCACAAGCTTGCAGAGCGACCTCGAGGACATGCGGGCGTCACACGCTGTGACCGAGACGGAATCCGAGCAGCTTAACAGCAAGTCTCGCGCTATGATGGACCTGAACATGAAGCTCCAGATCTCCGCCTCCAAGGCCCAAGTCAAGACGATCGACCTCGAGCTACGACGACTGGAGGCTCAGGAGGCCGAGCAACACTTGGAGATTGTCAAGATGTTCTTGCCTGATACCTACAAGGAGGACCAAGACTCTGTGCTTGCTCTGCTGAGGTTTAGGAGATTGGCCTTCAAGGCCGAGCTCCTGCAGTCGTTCATCAAGGAGCGTGTCAACGGCCAACCTCATCCTGGCCACGAGGACGACGTCTTTGCTGGCTGCGATGCTATTGACAAACTTACATGGGTCGCTTCTATGTGCGAGCGCTTCACTAACGCCATCAGCCACTGCTCGATTGAACAGTTCCAGCGGTTCCAGAATGCCTTGTTTGAGCTGGAGCCAGTGGAGCGGGCGCTGAACGGATGGATCGACGGCTTGCGACGAGATGACCTCAAGGAGCAGAAGTGTGCGGACGAACTCCAGCGCACGATTGCGCTCATGTCCCATCTCGCTGAAGTTCACCTCACCAACGAGCTGCCCGACTTTGCCGAGGACACGTACATGCAGACTGTCGTCATGCAGAGCCATCTTGAGTCTGCCGGAGCCACCTTTGCTGCTTTGCGTGGAATGGTCCAGAGAGTTGTGCCCCCCGAGTCTGAAGACGATGAGATGGCGCAGCACTTTAGCAAGAAATCCGAGTTTGTCGTTGCTCAGACCCGGAGTGCCAAGGTTATTGCTGGAAAGGCTGTGCGGGCCCTGCAAGATCTCAAGTCTCGCTCGCTGGCGTTGCCGCAAGAGACCAAGGAGTCCTTTGAGCAGTGCCAGGATGCCACTCAACAGCTGGCAGCGTTGGCTCGTGAGATTGGCTCCGACTTGCATACGCTCCTACACGAGGAAGGCCGTAACGAGCCCTTTACGTACCGCGAAGTCCAGGATACAATCTCCAAGGCCACCACCAAGGTCACCATGTCGAGCGAGTCCGACCTCTTCTCAACGTACCTGTCTAGGCTTCGTACTCTTACCAGCCAGATCTCAGACCTGGCCGCACTTAGCGCAGATTTGTCCCAGACGCAAGAGTTTGAAGTCAGCCCCGCACCGTGGAAGCTTCGTTCCCAGGAGCTCAAGGCCATCAAGACAATCCCCGTCGATGCGGAGGAGGAGATGCGCCGCCTTAAGGAGGAGCACAACGAAGCCCGCGTGGCGATTGCGCAGCGCGACGAGAATCTGAGCACGGCCAACCTCAAGATTGAGACCCTCGAGTCGAGGATGAAGGATGCTAATGCCAAGGCTTCCCGCATTGAGGATCTCGAGGCGCAGATCGAGGCTGCGAAGCAAAAGGCTGCTAGTCTCAGGGAAGACATTGATAAGCAAGACCGCGAGCTCAAGACACTGGAGACGGACCGCGACAAGTGGAAAAAGATTGCCGGCGACAGCAAGGCTTTTGCGGACGGCGCCGGTGCAGCGGGCGCCAAGGCCGGCCAGGAGCGGGCGGTTGCTACGGCGCGCGAGATGGATGCTCTCAAAAGCGAGATTGCGAGCCTGCAGGCTGCCGTGCGATACCTTCGCGAGGACAACAGGCGCGCCAGGACGACGGAGCAGCACAACTACGACTGGCTGGCGGAGCCGCTCACCAAGTCACCTTCCGTCGTGGAACAGCGCCGCGCCCTCGTCGTGGCGGAGGGCAAGGATGTTCTCAGCGAGCTGGTCAAGTTCACAACGTCGGCCCGCGTATACGACCTTGCTTCCCTGCCGGAGGACAAGCTCGCGTGGAAGCCAGCGCGCAGCACGCCCCAGTACCACGCGGCCAAGCAGAGGGAGGACCTCGCGGCGTGGAACAGCTGGCGGAACTCGGTGCTCAAGAAGTCCGAGGTCGTGCTAGGGCGCAAGGATGGGGCGGCGGCGGAGAAGAGGCAGATGATGAAGAGCGTGGCGGCGAGATTGCAGATTCGTTTGCCGGACGCGGACGGCAAGATGGTGCCCGGCGGCGGGAGGGATGTGCAGATTGTGGGATCGCGCGAGTGGGAGGGGATACAGGGCCGACTGGCGGCAGTATGATTATCATGGAAGCGATGCGATGTGGCAGAAGGACTAGTAGGATGTTAAATACCCCCTGAATCCCAAACTTATTCTTCAAGTCTAGCATGCTTAGATTGGGCTCCCTCAGCCTTTTTCTACGACCTTCCCCTTTGTATCTCCGTGATGTCGTTTTAACTTGGTGACCATTGACCGTTGGCCGTGGTATGTTTTTTCATGATGATGCTTAGAACTCCTTGGATGTGGTCCACCCCTGGTTTCCCATTTGACGACTCTCTTTCTCTTTTCTCTGACAGTCCACTTCAAGCCTTGCCCTTGCCCTTCTTCTTCTTACCAGCCTTCTCCTCAGCACCGCTACCACCACCACCCAAAGCACCGCCCTGAGCCTGCTGCATCAACGCCGCCATCGGGTCCCCGCCCCCCTGCATCTCCTTCATCATATCCTTGAACAAGTTCTCGCTGACGCCGCCGCCCGTCATGGCGGGACTGATATACGGCAACAGCTCGCCCATCTTCCACCCGCGCGGGACGGCGGGCCTAGGCCACGGCTTGCTGGGATCGTGCGCGGGAGCACCCTGCACGCGCGCCTTTAGGGCGGCACTGTCCTCCGCCGTCGGGTTGCGCTTGAGGTGCTCGGCGACGAGGATGTACAGGTGGTGCTTGTTCTTGATCTCCTGACACCCCGCGGGGCGGCTCGCCGCGCTGGCTTTGCCGCCGTCCGGGCCGAGTTGGCCGTTGAAGCGCGTGCGGATCTTGACGCGGCCCGGGTTCGCCCAGTCCTTTGGGTGGAATTTGGCGGGCTCGAAGAGCGTTGGCAGGCGGAGGGCGGCGCAGGCGTTTACGATTTCGCGGGCGATGGGGTTCTCTACGGCAAGGGATTTGGGGACGCGGCGGCCTTCGGCGCGTGTGCGGCGGGCGTCAAAGTAGATTGGGTAGAGGCACTGGAAGTCTGCGTATTGCTTCTGGTCGACGGTCGTTTGGAACTCGGAGGAGCCGCCGCGGGGGCCTGGGCCGCTGGCGGCGGCGGGGGGGATGGTGGAAGGGTTGATTTGCGGTGCGCGTGGTGCTGACGATTTGGGCTCGACGCGGCGCATGATGTCGTTGTCGGCAAAGTCGTCAATGTCGCCCTCGGAGGGGTCTGATGCCTCGAGGTCGCTGTCTTCGACCTCCTCTATGCGTGGGTGCGACATGGTGGTTGTGGTTTGTGTGGGGGGTTGTTGGTGTGGTATTGTCTGGCGGACTATCTGTGATCGCCAGTTCTTGTTTTGTACCCGATTGAGCTCGTGGCTCTCGAGGTATCAGTCGCTTCGGGAGCTTTCGTCGTCGTCGTTGGTGGTGGGTTTGGAGGCCTGGCAGATGTGAGGTGAGGATACAGTTGTGGATTGAAGAGGAGGCTCTCTCTCTCTGCTAATCCACTCTGGGATTTTGGCCGGCAGGTGTGGGGTTGGTTGCAAGACCACGGCTCGTGGTGGGGTTTGGGTTGGAGTGGCGGGGTCCACTATCTCGCTGGGGCTCGGCAGGCAGGCACAGGGCATTACTTCACCTCAGCTCATGGGTAGCTTACAGACGAAGGTATACACGAACACTCGTTTTTCTCTCTGCAAATAACCCGCAGCTTCATGGATGTGGCAAGAGCGATGGCTTTTCGTGAAAACAAAAGAAAAAGTGCCTACGAGGGAATTCGAACTCATGATCTTCAAAAATAAAAGCCACCGGGGGTCAAGATGCTAGCGCGGAGGTCGGGAGTGAGCAGTCGCAACTATAACGCCAACACGTCTCCTCATCCGATGGTGACAATCTGAGCAAATTGCTGACCCATATAGCTAGAGCGTGATGCAATGGTTTTGCAGGGCCAGAAATTCAGGTACGATTGGTCCTCCCTCAAGCGCTACGTGAGCCTCACTGCATGAAGAAAGTATCTGGAAAACAGCTATCCATGTATAGCTATACGAAGCTCATTTGGCAAGCTCAAATTGCCAGTGAGAAAGCTAACCATACAAAAATTAATTCTCAAAAAGCAAACCCAGTACGTTGAGAGACCAGCAGCAGATGAGTTGCGACTTTCTGTGCCACAGCCAATTCCATGTGCCATAGCAAATCCTGTCCCTTTGTCATTTTGTCTCTCCTTCCTTCTAAAATCGGCTTCGAGAAGCCGTTCAGTTTTCGTGAATTTTGGCATTCTTGAACTTTGTGCCAGGTGGATGATCCTCAACTCTGAACTTGCAATACGGGTGGGTGCAGGTGGTTCCAGTCACGCTAGGACACTGCGAGACTTGTTAGTACACCTTCTGCAAGAGTGAAAGGCAAAGACTTACATGATGTCCGTAAATGCAGTTTTCCACGTCACACTCCTGACCGCTGGTGCAGGGGTTGAGACGAGTCAAATGGGCAATGGCGTTAATTTCATCCGGGTTGGGCTTGTATTTGTGTTCGAAGCAGCACTCATCGCCCTTGGCACAAGGACCGCGCAGGTAATGGTTGTTGCACAGCTTGTCCTTACCTGTTCGTTTCTTAATATTGTCCATGGCTGTTGCGTTGATGGGGATAGGGGGATCCAAGCCACGCTCGCCAGGGTTCCATGCCGGTGTTGCCACTTTTGGCTCCGGAGCCTTTCGAGCTGGAACATTGACGGATATTTTAGCCAACGGGGTGGTGATGACAGGCGGCGGGCTAGCCTTAGCGGTGACCCCGGCCCAGGAAGAAGAGGCTGTCGTCGCCAATGTAGCAGGGGGTGAGGTTGGCGAAGCCACCATCACAGGCGAAGATGTTGACGCTCTAGATGGAGCCGGAAAGAAATGTACCGACGCTGGTGCCTGCGCCGAAGATCTGGCGTATGCCTCGGCACGTTCAGCAGCGCGGTCGCCGCTTCTATCAATGAGCTTTTGGTTTCGGAAAAGGCTGGGTAGCGGGTCGAGGATATGAACGTTGGTGTTTTTTAGCTCTCTGACCGTAGCGACGCCCTCAATTAGACTGACTCTTGAGCGAGTATCTGTATCTTGAAGGATTTCATCGAGGAAAGGGGCATAACCAGCATCGTGGGAAATGCCTAGCAAAATCTGTCTGCAGTTGTAATTTCGCAGATGCCAGCGGGTGGCCTCTATGGCAATGTTAGCCCATCTGTCACTACTGCAACATCACCATCTAGTCTCGTGTACAACGCACCTTTGATCTTCGAGTCGGCACGTTCCTTACCGTGACCAACGTCGATGAAATCAAACGAAGCTTTGGCCTGTGTGAAACCCAGAGAAAACTCCCTGAGCTCGGACTCGCTATCGAGGCAGCCATCTCTGCGCATAGCACGTCCAAGACCGGATAGATTGGCGCAGACTTTGGCGACAATTTCAACCTCACCCGACTGGCTGCCAACATACTCGGCAACGGCAGTTCGGAGGGCGTAGGCGGCTTGCTTGCCGCCCTCGATACCTTGTCTGATAAACGATTCTTGGAACTATTGAGAAGGCGCCGAAATTAGCATTACATCGAAAACCCGAGGTGGTAGTCGGGGCTACATACAAGAAGTCCATCTCCATCAATTAGAATCAAGACGTAGGGATTGCGATTCTGCGAGGTTTAGTCACTCTGGAGCTCAAGGGTGGGGAAGAAGCTGCTGGGCAGCAGGCGCCGCTGTCTACCTTCATGTAGCTGTTATCATAATCAAGCTCTTGCAGCATCTGCTGCATCTCTCTTCTGGAAGTGGTAGCATGATCGAGGTCGAGCTTTGCATTGCGCAGCTCCTGCTTGAGTATCTGATTTTCATCGGCATATTGGCCCTGAATTTCTTTGCAGTATATCAAAAGGTCCTGTGGTATCAAACGAGATTAGCGGAATGTAACTTTGGTCAAGGTTCATAACCTTGTTCAGAGGGGCGGTCCCATGTTGGGATGGACGGGAATAGCAGTTCGTCGCGTCTCGTGCAGGTGGATTGAGAGTGGGCTTGGAAAGGTGGCGATGAGGGAAGTAGGGGATCAGCAGCCGAAGCGCGTCAACAATGATAGCTGCAGCGCCAACGCCAAACAGGCGCTGAAGCTAGACGCGGTAGCAAAAGTTGACGACATGCCTCGAAAAGCTCGAGCTCAAGCTCAAGCTGGGGGTGGCTTTGCTGCGGGACCCTGTCGAGCAAGGGACAGGAAGCTTTGGTCTCTCTGCAGACGCAGACCAGCCGTGGAAAGGACGCAGAAGATTCAACAGGGAGAAGGGGTGGGCAGGCAATGGCAAACCATGAGGGAAGTGGAAAACGCAAACATACCTTCATCAACTGGTCGCTGGCGTTCTGGTAACCCTGCAAGTTCTGATACCGAGTGACAAAGTCCATGATCTCTGGCTTATCCAAGGCCATTTTGGTGGATGGTTTTTCTTTCTTAATGCCTGATCCGATGGCCGAAGGCAAGGTGTTGCTCGGCGAGAAAGGAAAAGAATGCAACGGAGATTGGCTACTGGTGCGAAGGTAAGGTGGGAGAACAGGGGCCGAATTGTTGGTGTTGATGCCCAGGTTGTTGGTGTCAAAAGGCGACCGGGTGGTCGTGGTATGAGTGGTGGTGGGCATCTTTTTCTTTTTTTTTCCCCTCCTTCCCTCAGGCAAAGTGAGAGCTGCTTTTTTTTTCTGCCACCAGTCAGATTCAGCGAGCGAAATAAATTGAGAGAGCCCAAGCAGGAAGAAGAGTGAGAAAGGTGAGGCGGACGCTGCAGTCCTTGTGTGCCAAAGGGAAAAGGCAAGAAGTCGCGGCGGTAGTCTCAACTGCTGCACTCTCTATTGGCGCCAGCAGGTGCAGGTGCAGGTACGGTAAGTAGGTGGGTGAGTGAGTGAGTGAGCGAGTGAGTGTTGTGCTTGGACGGGACGTGGATGTGTGGATGACCGTAGTGCTTGTGCTTGGTGCTTGGATAGGTGGTAAAAAAATAAAAAATAAAAATATAGGTAAAAGTACCGTGCCTGCCTCGTGTGCTTGTGATGCTTTGGTGCGATGGCCCAGCCGGATCAGGCAGATAGTGTGCTCTGCTGCAGATGTCGCTGTAGCAAGAAATGCGCCTAGCCAGTACGTAGCAGGTTACGTCTCTTCTGGAAAGCGATTTATGAGAGGTAAGGTAAGGTAACCTTTCGACTAGGCTTGTGTGTGCAATATATGAGAACCGCGTAGGTAGGCAGGTGGTTTGATGATATGAGGAAAAAAATCTTTGTGGCTAAACCCTTTCTTCACATCTAGAGCTTCGTGTGATCTGCAATAAGAACCTCGAGAGCTGTGAAAGGCAAAAAAGCCAAGACAAGTGGATAGGGAACCAAAAGTGTAAGAATCTAGAAAGCAAAATAAGATGCAGCCAAAGAAAAGAGAGACAAGCACTTAGAGACTACCTTAGCGCAGCTCACGTCTCGTCGATCGGCGATGGGATCGATAAGGTTGATAGCTGGACAGGGCTGGAGTTTGGGGGCAGAAGAGGACGTTCAAGATGGTCGGTTCAGGCAAAAAGTCATGGATAATTGAGTAAAGGGAGGTAGTACCTGAGGGCTGAAAAGGTGAGGTGTGACCGACCGGTTGAAGGTGAAGCAGTGCCAAAAAGCCTCTGATGGTGCGTCTTGAGAGAGCGAGTAGAGGCTACGAGGGCAATGTAACGCCAGGCAAGACGATAGACAATGGGGTAGGATCGGGATTCGACTAGACCAGGATTCAGGATGGAGGTTGGCTGGTAGATGGGGTCTGAGGCGAGAGGGCGGGAGTACGAATATGTCTGAGGTTGAGACGAGGTAAGTCAAATAAACGGTGGGTGCCGTAGAGATTTTGTTTAAGAAAAAGTTGGAAGGGCAGCAGCTTCTTTCCCTTTCCTGTACTTTACGAATAAGGGTCAATAAGACGGGTTTATGTAAAAGGTGGAAGAAAACGAACAAATATTGCAGACGTGTCTGCGAGACGGAATAACGCAGCAACAAACGGATTTTGGGTTGAAAGATGCCAGCCGTCTGTTGTCTGCTGTCTGCTTCCTCTCCCAATCGATACCTGACAGCAGAGAGTGACGGGAAGCGGTGAAGCCACCACCGGATTCTAGTATATCGATCTGCTGGGACCCGGGATGCGGAAAGCAGGATGAGCGCTCACTCGCCGGATGCGAATGGATGGCGGGGGTAATCTTTCTTGACCCAACCTAGGCACGGGCAGACTTCCAATTGTCAAGAGATGGGGAAATGTTCACAAGTGACATTCGAGAAACCGTGGGAAGTTGATTGCATAGGCAAAAAAGCAAGCGTCCGATAAGATGTTAGACACGCCACAACACAAGTCGTTGGCTGGCGGAAATTGATTTTTTTTTCTTCCTCTACGGATATGGTGTTGGTGCCGTACTGTCTGGACCCCGGAAAAAATTGTTAAACTGGCATACGAAAAAAAAAAAAAGTTTACCACTGGTCCCAATCGTCATAGGCCGCAAGGATATGCGTACCTTTCATCCCGCAAGACACCGGTGACACCCATTCCCCAGTACGCCGAACGACACAAAACCTCGAATCAGAACATGGGCATGACGGCAACAGAAAAGTACACTCAGGGTATACATAGGGTATATTATGGTCATCTATGCATCCTCGTTGTTGTATCTGCCTCAACCATTCTTGGCTACCTGCTGGCTGACGACTACCTAGCAACGGCTGCGATGTGCCTGGCCTGCACCTCGCTCGACTGATTGTCCACCGCTTGTGCATGAGATGCCACTTTAGCGACAACTTGCGAGGCACCACGGAACCCGGTAAGCAGGCACTGGCAGGGCAGCTCCTTCTCCGCTGGCGCTAAATCCACTACCGTTGTCCCACCTAACTGGCCAGCATCCCCCATCATGGCAGGGGGGTGCCCTTCAGCTGTAAATCATCTGTGCTCCAAGGCGCTCAAGTTCTCGACTTCAATTCAACCCACCAATACATGCAGCCAATGACAACAACTCAATGTCATGCACTGAACCGCCGCTAGGCCGCGACCTTTTCACCATCTCTTTTTCGACTCTCACCTGCGACGTTCAAGAAAAACGCCTTGCCATCCCTCTCTCCTTTACTGTCTCAATCATCCAAGCCCCTCGCTCCTTCTTGCAGGAGCTTGCAGGCAGATGTTACGGATAGTATCTTACTCCAACTTGAAGGTGAGCGGCTCAGGCTTGAATGTCCCTAAATGGCCTTTGTTTCTGTCCGTTTCAAATATCGTTCCTCAGTCTTCCATATAACGTACGTAGTAAGGGGCTCAAACAGATGACGGGTCGTACTGGTTTAGCAAGTTCCACACACTGTCATTCCCAAAATCTCCTTCGAATGATGTTGTTCCAGCCACCGGCGGTGGCGGCGTCGCTGCTCCCCACGCAGGGAGAGATCCGTCGTCCGGTATACCGTTAAGGTCGTGGTAAATGAGGTCTCCCATCGGGAATAGTGGCGCAATCGACGTGAAATCCCAGTTATTGGGTATGTTCCAGTCCGAGGCAGAGGATGGCAAAGGATACGCCGATGCCGCGTCTGATGCCATGGGCAGTGAGGTTGGTGTCGCCACCGTACTGCTCTTGCTCACTGGCGTATCTGCCGTGGCCGCTGTTGCCGTTGACACCGATCCGCGGCCCGAAAGACTGCTGTTGTCTGCCGTCGATGCCGGCGTTGTCTGGGATGCCAGGCTTGACAGGCTCGCTGGTGGCGCCGGGTTTCCTACTGCTTTCTTAAACTTATTAAATATCGCCTGGAGAACTCCCTTTGCCGCCTTTGCAAGAGGGTTTCGCTCTTGCATCGCTTCAAACCTCTCCGTTGTCCAGTGGAAGTGTTGCATAGCGCTGCCTGCCATATCCAGGTTCTCCTTGGGGAACAGGATATATATCGACGCCATGAGCACTACTGCGTCAAAGCTGCCAAAGAACAGCGAGAAACTAGGCAGGCTTGTTAGCCTAATCCGACAGGGAAATGCATGAGACCTACTTTCGCCATGATCCAGCGTCAAGGCCTTGGAATGTGAGCATCTGTCGATGCAACATTTCAATGCTGGCCTTGAGCGCCTCTGTCCGACTCTTTTGCCTGTTAAAGATGTATGGTCGGTGCAGTGCCATCAGATTGAAAAGATTCATCTGCGGTAGGTAAAATCGCACCGACTGTAGCCAGGAGGAGCACAAGGGGTTACCGTCCCATTTCGTGTCCGGATTCTCCAGGCGGAAGTATGCAGGTGTGGCCTCGTCGAGTTCCATACATATTTGGTGTACCCGGTCGACCTTGGAATAGTCTTTCGGACACGGGCCGTCGTGCTCAAGCTCGAGGATCTCGCGCATTGGGCCGACGAGCTTGAAAGCCCATATGCTCTTAGTCAACGGGGTTGGAGGGTCTCTCTCGTCATCCCTTGGCGCAATGGGCGTCTTGCGGCGGTCTTTGGGCGGAGGCGCGTCTATTGGTAGACTGGGTGGGAGTATACGCCAGTCGATGCTGCCAGGACGTCCAAGCACAAGCGCACAGTGGATATCCCTGTTTGGTGTCAGCCGAGTCATAAACAGCCATGCTTGCCGTCCGGCAATTGCTCACCATGTCATGAGGACCATGTAAAGCTTTCTCCTCCGCTGAATCAGCCACATGTTCTCGAGCATATCACCAGTGTCATCACTGGCCGGGGAAGGATCCAGGCTATCCCGGTGCATGCCAATCTCTTGAGCATCTCGAATAGCGCTACCAATGGCATGCCACTGCACTCATTATTAGCTTTTTGATGGCCTTAAGCTACGCTCGGGAGTTCACCTACCGATTCCGTAACCTTGGCCATGTACTTGAGAAACGCAGCTCGAAGAAAGTCGGCCTGGACTGTTGTGAGAGTGATTTGCCGCTTACCAAGCAGTGACAAAATGCCAACGCCAGATTCGCTGTAGTCCGCGGCAAGGTCCTCGAAAGTCATGTTCCCAGCATACTTGAGATGATCGTAAAAGTCTTGCGACCCTTCCGGTAGAGTCAACAAGGCCGTCGCCAGTACCTGAAAGAGCAGCGCGGGAAAGACTCGCAAGTCGGGCGAGAGTGCCTGTGGACCAGAGTTGGAAAGCACGCTGAAGGGGATGTTGGACCACTCGGCAAACTGTTCCTTGAAGAGATCCTCCTCAAGCGCATAGTACTGGTGGTTGAACTCGTGAAAGTATACGTCGATGAGCTTTTCGATGTAACCCTTTGCCGGCAGCTGTCTGATCAACGACTTGTATCGTTCCTTGGTCGCAAACTGGTCTTCGACGTGGGCCGCGCCGCCGAGATGCGACAGCTGGCCGTCGCCGTTGGCGCTTTCGATTTTCCTCATCAGACCGAGAGTGGAAGCCCCAGCTTGAGAGTAGCCCCAGTTCGCGGCGGCATTGGAGAGGCTCTGGACATGTGTCGGTCTCGCGCCTTCGCCGTCCGGCTTGCGGTTGTCTTTTGCTGTGGGCGCGCCCGTTTCGTACTTGCAAGCATCCTGTTTGTTGCGCGACTTGCAGTTGGCGCATGGGAGGTCTCGGTCGCACTGCGCACAGAAACTGTGTCAGCTACGAATTGCAATGGCGGGAGGGAGAATTGTTGCGGGCAAGGCCTAGCAAACCAACCTTTTGCTTTCGTCGGTGGCATTCCGTGCAAGAAATCACCACGCGTCTGCGCTTCTTGGGCGGTGGTCGGGCGTCTTGCGTCTGGTTCTGGTTCTGCATTTGGGTCGGTGTTTGAGTTGGACTTGTGCTCGAGTCCTGACCATCCCGCGCCGAGGGTGGTTTCTCGGAGCTGTTCCGCCGATCGTCGGCCATGGCCAGCCG